CCGTCGGAGAGGTTGAGGCTGTCCTCAACCGCGGCCGCGAGGGACGCGTCGTCGCGGAGCTGGCGAAGCTCCTCCTCGGTGCGGAAGAGGTTCGCGTCCACGGAGGCGACACTGTCGCCGTCCTGCTCGTCGTCGCCGTCGCTGAGGAGGCCACGCACAGCCCCCGGGTGAGCGGTGACCCCCAGCTCAGCGGCGGCAGCGTTGAGCTGGGCGGCGGTGGGGTCCTGAAGATCGCCGGCGGAAGATCCGGCAGGAAGATCAGCAGCCGAGGCACTAGAAAGCTCGCCGCCAGAGGGAACGACAAGCGAGGTGGAAGAGAGGCGGGCAAAGGGCACGCGAGCGGGGGAGGGCGACCCCGAACGCGAGGCAGGCGCGCTACGGGTACCACGAACCGAACCAATTGTCTTGCTGCGAGTACGCATGGCCATGCTTCAAATACTGCTGTGAACTCAAAGACGCAAATAGCAACCGCACAAACAAGCGCCGAGACGCCAATGTGATACTTGGTCGTCGGGTTCTGTTGATGACCCAATCAACCAATCCAATGCAGAGCGATGTGGCTCTACACTAACGGTTCTTGTGCTAGGTTCGAGGTTCTTGTCAGTGGGTTGCTCTATGTCTCGGACGGTTGTCGCCGAAGATGCTAGATCAAAGACTCAAAGACCGAGGATAATGGATGATGCTTTGAAGAGGAAACTTTGTCGTTGGTTCTGCTCGCTGCTGCACTCAACTCAAGTCGGTCAACACTGCTGCTGCTCGACCGTACTTCTGCACTCACTTGCTGGAACCAACCACCGCTTCGAACTCTGTCAACGTACTGGTAACCGGACACTCAAGCTCGCCTTCTGCTCCTTGCCCTGGTAGACTCTCTCTTCTGAATTCATGAGCGGCAGCGCTGCTGCTGCCGCTGCTCAACATCCTTCACGTACGTCCACAGAAATATGCCAATTCCGCCGCAAAGCGGGGACAGAACCCGAACATCCCCTGAAACGAGCCTACTTCGTACCACATCTAAGCATAACGCCACCGCGTGGATGCCATTTTTCAGCTAAATCTGTCCTCCCGGCCACCTACGCGCAACAAATCACTGTAAGAGTTTTTCATCTTGCTCTTTACCTAACAGTTCGCCTTCGTGCCAAGTTTCGTGCCAAGCGTTCTCGTATTCACCAGGGATGTGTCGTCGGCTCGCTCGAGGTTCCGCCGCGTCCTTGAGGGCTCGTATGCTTTTCCATATCTTTTTTGGGCCGACTTGAGGTCTTTCACTGCTGAGTTCTAGCGCAGTGGTGTATGGAATTTCATACTGCTTGGGTCCGTCGCTAGATATTGGAGACATCTACAGCCATCGTGCTTCATCTTGGAAGGGTGGCTCTGCTGATTGCGTGTATAGCACCGTAGAATGCGAATTGACACTTACGTACGTCCAACTTGTTTTTTATGCTACGCGCAGCACTGATGTGGTTCTCGTTGCGCCGCTGCACGCACCACCGGCTACCAGTGTTCACCTACCAACGACGACACACAAACAACCAAACCAGGCTTGACCGATAAACATGGAGGACGCTCATGACGATACCGGTGAAGATCGAGCGGCGCGGGTGCCCTGCGCAGAGCGCAACGCCGACTGGTTCTCGAAGATTGACCATATCCAAGAGGCAGGTTATCTTTTTGTGCTACAAGAGTGCGGTGAGGACTTCTCGAGACTACAGTTGTGTGTCATGGGCGTCAGCGCGAATGTCTCGAGCGCCGACTGGTGGAGTCACGACTCTTCAGCAGAGTCTTTCATTGGGAGCGATATCTCAAGGGTGTTTGGTGATGACTTTGTGCACCACGTGGACATCCTCGTGCGTGACCTAAAAACCAAGATGGATCCCGGCGGAGGCATCCTCGGCGAACCGGGATCGGTGGACCTTCTACCCTTTCCAGAAGTCACCCTCGAGCATCTAGCCTGTAGAGTTGCGCCCAGTAACCCGGGAGTGTACTTGCTGGAGATGGAAGAAAATAAAGGACCTCATAATGCCTGCAGGGGGGGTGCGCCCGACCTCGGGCACGTGGCGCGAGTGATGCGGTGCTTTACCCCCAGCGCCACCCCAGAAATGTTCACCGCCGCTGTTTGTAACTCTCTCATGCGAAGCGTCTCCGGGTACGACCGTATCATGGTCTACCGCTTCTCCAGTGACTGTTGCGGCGAGGTGATCCACGAGACCGTCCGACCTGGAGCTGAGGTCAGCTCCTCCTATCTGAACCTCCGATTCCCTGCAAGCGACATCCCGGAAATGGCGCGGAGGTTGCTCCTGCTGAATAAGACGCGTTTCATCTGTGATACTTATATGAAGGGCGCGGTGCTTCATGTCCACTCCGACCTCAACACGGGCAAGAGGCTGGACCTCAGAATGAGCGCCCTAAGGGCCCCCGCACAATGCCACCTCGAGTACCTCCAGAACATGGGCGTCAAGGCGAGTCTGACCGCGGCTATCACCGTCGACGATGAGCTCTGGGGGATGTTTTCCTTTCACAGCTACACGAGGACTGTGATTCCGACGATCGAAGAGCGAACTCTGGTGGAGATGGCGGCTAGTGTGACCGGGATGACCGTGTCTCGCCACGAACGTGAGATGACCGTGACGGCCTCGCTCATCCTCAACAACACACTGGGGAAGCTAAGTGAGCACATCAAGATCCGTGAATTCCTGTCGGCCGAGAACCAAACCCTTCTGAACCTCCTGAAAGCGGATGCTATTGTCGTGTGCGAGCAGTCGCGCTTGGTCACGGTGTACGGGGACAGCGAGCTTGGATTAACCCTGGAGGAGTGCACTGAGTTGTTTGAAGACGACCGCTCGGGAAATACGCTGTCTTTCCATTCTGAGAACGACAGGGGTATCGCTTGTTTCTCCGTGCGCTCCTTCCTGATCGCTTTTGTGCGCGGCAGCGCCGTGCGCCACGTGTCCTGGGCCGGTACGCCGGATCCACCGTTGCTAGACGAAGAAAGGTTGCACCCTAGGGCGTCTTTTATGAGGTTCGTGGCGGAGGCGTCAATACCATTCCCTCCGTGGTCTGCGTCAACCAAGCAGCTTATCAACGTCGTGCGACACGGCATCTCTTCTCACATGTACTCGGAGGCTCTACCCGCCGACCTCGAGGAAGTCTTCGCCCACGTCTCTCATGAGCTGCGCACTCCCTTCCACGGAGTCATGGGCTCGCTTGAGATGCTGAAAGATGGGACGGCCACCATGGGGTTAGAGCAAAGGATGGCCATCGTCGACTCCGCCATCGAGTGTGGCAATTCCATGTGAGAATATTGCGGTCTGTCTTTTAGGGATTGTGAACACACACGACGATCATCCTCGGAAGAATTGCACCACTTGCACCACTTGCCTAACGCATTGCTTTTCGTATCACCGTGCCGATTTTGTGCGTCGACGCAGGATGTCCACACTGAGCGACATCTTGGACATAGCGAAGGACCGCAACAACACCAAGCTAAACTGCACGACATTTGCTGCGTGGACCCCGATCCTAGAGACGATGTCGGCTATGAAGCAGTTCGCCACCCGTAAGACTATCGAGCTCAGCAAGAAGGTTGAGCAGACCGTGGGCGAGCTGACAGTCGCGGGGGACGAGAGGCGCATCAAACACATCGTCCAGAACTTGGTCAACAACGCCATCAAATTCACCCCAACGGGGGGGAAGGTTGAGGTCTCACTCCTCGTGTTCGATGCCCCGGAAAAGGTGCAGGCTTGGTGGGACGAGCAGGCCGCCCGGTTCGAAAGTAGGTGCTGGAAAGGTGTCGATGTGAAAAATGACCGCGGCAACGATACGGGGGGGGACGGTGACGGTAAGACGGGGGACTCCGTAAAGCGTTGGGTCGTGTACAGCGTGGAAGACACCGGTGTTGGCGTCTCTCGTGGAGACATACTGGTTCTCACGTCGGCCTACCGGCAGCTCTCGCATGGCGCCTCAAAGGAGTACGCGGGGACCGGCCTTGGACTCCACATCAGCAGCACTCACATTCGCACCATGTCTGGCGGGCTGGGAATAGCTTCCACATCCGCCCAAACGGGAGATCGCAAGGACAGCTCGGGTACCATATTCGCGTGCGCCATCCCGCTGCTCGTGAGTCCGGTGAAGATCGCCGGAGCTGTGCAAGATGAGACAGTTGCCGACCCCGGGACGACAACTACTGTCCCCCATGCGGTGACATTCCTGGTTGTCGACGATCATGCGGTGAATGTCAAGCTTCTCAAGCACAGGATCACGAAGACGTTCGACGACAGGAAACTGCAAGTAATTACTGCGACAGACGGAGAGACGGCAATCCAGCAGTGGGAGGCCGTGAAGGGGCTAGGAAAAGACAACGACCATGTCTTTGCCGGGGTGTTCATCGACTTTCACATGCCGAACATGAACGGCATGGAGTGCACTGAATGCTTGCGGCGCCTCGAGGCGAAGAACGGGTGGTCACGCACTCCAATCTCGGGGTGCACGGCCGACCTGACCGAGAAGGCCACGAAGCAGTTCACCGATGCGGGTGGGGACGAAGTGCTGTGCAAGCCTTGGAGGGCGGGAGATGTGAAGAGCATGTGCCACCGCATGATAGCGAAGGCGCTAGAGGCGGAAAAGAAAAGTTCTTAGTTCGTTTCATAGATGTGGGATGCTATGTACTAACATAGCAGTTGTGGCTTCTTGGCGATTTCTTAGGTTCATGCTTGAATTTGAACAAACGGCGCTTCCCTACGCTTTGTTTGTCTTCATTGCCGCAACGCGCTTGGCAATCGACGGCCTCGGCCCCTCAATGTTGAATTTGAGCGCAACTGGCTCGACTTCCTCTGAGTCCGCCTGCTCTGACGGCGTGCTGCCGTCTCCGTGCACGGAGGAACCCATACCACTAGCGCACTGCGAGTCCTCGTCGGACGAAGAAGCCCCTCAGCTGATCGTCAGTGTGTATTCGTCCACTGTACAACCAAACCCGAGCTTCTTGTAGTGCTTGTGCAGTGCGCTTGTCATCGCGATCATACCTTGTCCGAAACACGATGATGCCAGGCACCTCGAACGACACACTATCCAATTGGTCTCTTGCACTGTTACGAACTAGCTCGTCGACGCGCTTCACCAGGTACTTCCTTGCGAGCTTGTCCGGCGAGTCATTCGAAAGTCGAAGCTCTAGAATTTCGTCCACGGATCTTATCCTGGGCATTTCAATTAAAAATATATGCCGATGGTGCGACTGTCTCTAGTGTAACACAAAATAAAACGCCCTAGTGCACATGGAAGAGTCCTTCGAAGTCTTACCGAGAGCGCAGCTGCTCGAGAACTTCGCGGAAGTGGAGGTGACATGGAAAACGCCCAGTACACCCGAGGGCATGACAAACATTCTCAACATATTTGGCGTGACTTGTCCGGAGGACATTGTTCGTGGGTCTGCGAACATTGGTGTTGGATACATGTGCTGGGTGATTTGGTGTCACGCAGACTGGTAAGATTGCCGTTTGGTAGGGGGCACCGCGATGATTCACGGGGCCCATCCTTGCTGTGGGAGCCGCTCTTTGCGCACTCCCTCTTTCGTCCGTGTGAAGGACGGTCGTCGACCTCCCGTGAAGTTAATACATCACCAAAATAGTCTCACCCGATGAATAAGTGGCGTAGGCCGCAAACACTCTAGAGAGAGTTTTGTGCCCCTCGAGGGAGGCCACATGGGGATGATGAGCTCTGCCGGAGACGAGGTGCCCACTGCTGCGAGCGGAGAACAGATCCGCGCGCCGGTGGAGGAGGGCCGCGATGCAGAGTTGGCAAGTTTGCAACGGCAGATTTCGCAATTGGCGGCCCTGGTGGAGGAGTCGGTGAAGAAGGAGCCTGGCAGCGTCGTGGCGGATGCAGCCAGTAGAGGCGGCTGGGTTGCTGCCCCCGAGAGCCAAGAGCCAACGCTGCCGCTCGGCAGTGGCGGGGGATTTCTCCAGCAGCAAGCGAGAGATAGTGGGCAAGGACCACGGCAGCTGCTGGAAGGCGGCTGGGCCAGCAGATCGGGAGCGAACCCTGTTGGACCAGCCGGAGTGGGCCCGGGCATAGGACCGGACTACGGGGAAGCGAGGGGGTTAAACCCCCCAGGTGAGATACCCGTGATTGGAGGAAATCGAGAATACCTCGACGGCTACAGCAGTACCCACCAGAAAAGAGTGACGGTCAATGCCCCGCTCAGACGGGAAAAGCCGTAGCCACGGATTTGATTCGTGGCGGAAATCGTTCATCCAAGCTGCGAAGACCATCGACTTGGACGGGCAGTTTATAGGAGATGCAGAGAGCAGTATCCCCGTGGGCGACCCAAACTTGCCGACTTCCGAACTGCTCCGTAGGGGGTACACGAGAGCAGAAGTCCAACGGGGGCTTCAGGCGTTCCACTTTATCACTACTGCTGTGGTAAAAGAAGCTGACAAAGCAATCATCAGTAACTGTACGTCAGCGAAAGAGGTCCTCGCGGAGTCTGAAAAGGTCTACGATCCGGATTCACAGGGGTCAAAACAGGTCTTGATGCGAAAGATGTTCACAATCCCCACACACAGCAACAGCAACCCCATCGAGCACCTCTACTCACTCGAGCTGCTGTATGCCCGCCTGCGCGAAAAGGGGCTCAATGCTGAACAACCCTTCGTTCTCGCCCACTTCGTTGGTTCCCTCCCACCCGAGTGTCAACAAGCGAAGTTCCTGTTGGAGACAGCAACGGCGCTGGATAGGGCCGAGATCGTCAGGATCGTGAGCACGGTGCACGTGAGCCTCCCGGAGGGGAGGAAGGCCTCGAGGGGCCAGCGTAGGGTGGAGCATGCTCTCCTCCCGAGCGACGGTAGCAGCGGCGGCGGCGGCGGCGGCGGCGGCGGCAACCAGAAGGGGAGAGGGGGTGGCGCGAAGGCTGGTGGCGGCAGCGGAGGCGGCGACGATGATGCGGGTAGCATGCGCGTTCGCTGTTTCCGGTGCGGCAAAGAGGGCCACCAGGTGGCCGACTGCACCGAGAGCAAGCCCGTGGGATGTAAGACATGCAAGGGCTACGGGCACGACAAGAGCAAGTGCCCGACCGAAGAGGCGGTGCTCGTGGTGGAAGTGCCGGCGGGGAGGGCGTCTGCGGACGCCACAGCACTGGACGTGGCAGAAGAAGCGCTGGTGGTCGGTGACATCTCAGGCGAGTGTCACAAAGTCGTTGGTCGAGGGGGTGTAGAGCAGGCTAGGCGGGGTAGGTATGTTGCCGATACCGGCGCTACCACCCACATGTTCGCGAACTCAGATGGGTTCGTTCGTTACGAAGAGTGTGATCGACGTGTGCGCGTCGCCGCCGGAGAAACCTTCCCTATCGTAGGGTATGGCGACGTGACGGTAACCCTTAGCTCGCGCGACGGTACAACCGACCTGTTGTTGAAACGGGTTGCACACGTCCCCCGACTAGACTACAACCTAGTATCTCTCACTTCCCTCTTCGACGACGGGTTCGAAACCAAAACCCTCAACAAACACGAGTTGGAGTTGGAGAGAGGGGGGGGGGAGGTGGTGTACTTCCCCCGATGCGGTAACCTGTACGTCCAAAACGGTTTCCGCACACACACCGAACGCGCCCGTGCCGCAATTGCTCCTGGCAACGCGAAAGCGCCCAGCACCCCCGTTGACATCAACGATTTCCACTGCGCGCACGGCCACTCCCACGAGGTGCTGCTGAGGACCACGGCGAAGCAGCAGGGGACGACGCTGGTGGGCGAGCTCCGGGAGTGCCTGAGGTGCTCGGCGGCGAAGTGGCTTTCCAAGCCCATCCCCAACAAAACGTGGACCCGAGCAGTTAAGAAACTGCAGCGAGTTTTCGTGGATTTGAGTGGAAAAGCTAGGGTGCAGAGCTTGGGGGGAAAGTGGTACACTCTCATTGTCAAGGATGATTACACAAGGTGGAACCGTGTATATTTCCTGAAGCACAGATCAGACGCCGCTGAGGCATTCGAGAGGGACCTTGCAGAAAACCGGGCAGACGGTACCCCGTCCGCTGCCATTGTCGTGAGATCCGACAACGGAGGAGATTTTTTTTAGGGAGAGTTCGGCAAGGTGTGTCGGAAGTACTGCATCAAACAGGACTTCACCCCCGCACACGGCCCTGAATACAACGGTGTAGCTGAGAGAGCACTGGGTCTGATCAAGGATGCAGCACTAGCCGCCCGTATCCAAGCGCCAACTCTTTACCCCGGAACACCGAACTACCCCTCCCTTTGGGCCGAGGCCATAGCTTGGGCATGCAACGTCCTGAACTGCACCTCGNCACATCCAACCCAGAGAAGAAGTCGCCGTACGAGATGTGGCACGGGCACCCTCCCCCGCCGGGGGCGACGTACCCGTTCCTCAAACCTCCCGTATACAAGGTCAAGCGCACACACAAGTCCGAGCCAAAAGCCCAAAAGTGTTTTTACCTCGGCCCGGGAATCAACACCAACCGCGATTGCGTGCGCATCTTGAACGAAAAACGCCAAGCGATCACAACTCGCAACTTCACCTGGCAATCCGTACCCGCCGCCCCCGCCGCCCTGCCCCAGTCGCTGCCTCCCATCGCAGAGGAGGAAGAGGAATTCGCGACTGAGGAGGACGAGGTTGGGGAGGGCGCGTCGAGCAAAGGTGGAGGGAGGGCGGAGGGAGAACCTGTGGNGGGGCGACGTACCCGTTCCTCATACCTGCCGTATACAAGGTCAAGCGCACACACAAATCCGAGCCGAAAGCCCAAAAGTGTTTTCACCTCGGCCCGGGAGTCAACACCAACCGCGATTGCGTGCGCATCTTGAAAGAAAAACGTCAAGCGATCACAACTCGCAACTTCACCTGGCAATCCGTACCCGCCGCCCCCGCCGCCNGCGCGTAGCGCTGGCGGCGCCGCCGGCCGCGCCCCAGCAGGCTGGCGATGGCGCCCCGTCGAGCAGGGAGGGCGCGAGCATCGCCCCATCTACCACGTCGACCGGCACGGCCGATGTGGGCGGCGACGAGGACGACCGCCACAGCAGCGGTAGCAGCGGCAGCGGCAGCGATAGCAGCAGCGGCGGCAGCAGCGGCGATGACGGCGGCAGCGACAGCAGCATAGGCAGCGACAGCGAGACGGATCTCCCGGCGCTCCGTGGGCCAGGGGCCCGGCGGCTCGCCCGCTTCGACAAGCCGG